GAAAATACAATTCATAGAACTTCCAAATATACTTCTTATTTCACCTGCCATATTCCGCAGGGTAGTGTCTAGCTGTGCTGGAACGCAGAAATGAATTTCTAAAATATACAGCATTGTGATAGTTCTGCTCATGTACAGTACCTGTAATTACTTTTTTTTCTTTAATCACAAATATTCAATTAATGCTTTGCATTTACTGTACATTAAGTAATATATATTTTTTCCTTCTACTATTTGCAGTTTTAAATTCATCATTAGTCTGAGGGGCTTTGTTATCTTTTGATAAGTAGTTACAAAGTTATAGACAGACATAGGGCTTGTGTTATACTGTACAGTACACTGCCCAAACCACCACTTTTCCGGAATCAAATTATACATGACCATGTTCTGTTTATGGCATCTTTTCTTCATTGATTCCATTAATACAATACCTAACTGGACGCTGCATACCCTTGTCACTTTGTGCTCCAGCTTACTAAGAGTGGTTTCATACAATGGCTTAATTATGAGGAATTCAGGCTATTCTTGTTGAGGTTTTTTGCAATGGGACCACATGCTGTTGGTAACTGCTTCATCTATTACTGACAACAAAGAAGACCAGTTTCTGGTAAAAATAAATGCTAAAAAGACAAGAACTGGTTTTAGTCTTTTGCCATTCCCTGCCATTCAACACAACAGCAGGACCTGGATGTCCTGGGATCAACAGCTTATTGTTATAATTTGCTTCTGTGCTACTTTCATGATTCCAAGGTCATTCCTTTAATAAAGGATCCTTATTACGTTGTAAGTCGTGCAGTCATGCAACCCGCTCTAAAAGTCCCAAAAAATCTTTAAAAGGTTGTTTTGGATCAATTTTTGATGAAGAAAGAACAAAATACATACAATTTAAACGTTATGCTTCAAAGCAGCATGCTTGTGTTTGAATTCTTGATTTTCAAATATCTTTTTTACTTAAAAGAAGAAGGTGTAAGGGTTGGTCCTAGCTTAAAATGTTAAAATGTTAGTGCTTTTTGCCACTGCTTTCATTTTTTCTCCCTCTAGAAAACAGAAGGAGGGAATGTGCCTGTCCAATGTTGTGAAACCTAATAAGTGCTCTTTAGCCTGTTGGGAGGTATTGAGGTATTAAAATTGAGGTGGTGTGTATATGAGTGGGCTCGGGGGGGAGGTCAAGCAGTTTCAGTCAGTAGCACCCACAATAGGGTGAAATGGGGTAAAAGAAACTCGTCATTCCAAAACAAGAATTAATGGAATTGGTGCTGCTTTGTTGCATAGTCTTTCAATTGTGTGTAATAATGGTGGGAAATATTTTGAATAATTCTGAGGCCTTTAAAGGTAGTTCAGATAAACCAAAAATGAGAAGTGTGTACAGCATTGTGTGACTTACAGTGTAATGAAACTACAATTTAGTTTTCCTTTCAAACTTGATAGGCTTGAATCTTAAAGTCTGTTCAAAAACGTAATTTTTTTTCAAATGTACTTTATGTCGCAGCTTACTAAAGCTTTCTGAGGGAAGGCTCTTGTCCCTTCCATTTTGCCGACTTCAGCGCGACAGGATTTGTTTTCTTTTTTTTTTCCCCTTGTGGCCCTTTTATTCTTCTTTTATCTCAATTCAGCCGGAAGGAGGTGCTGACAGGGGGCGAAGCTGAAAGTGCGTTTTTTTTCTGGAACAGTAGTCCAAAAGTTTGAAAACTTCGGGGATTAGGGATCTCCCAGCTAGGAGCATACAGCGCTCATTTCCTCACTCCTGCTCCGTACGCAGAAGTCTCTGCTGAAACTCTCTGTTGAGATGCGCTGCCCAAAGAATAGGCCACTACATTCCGTCTGCCTAGAAACCATTTTTCCTTTCATACAGTGCTTTCAGTGTGACAGGCCCATTTGAATAAGAATTGCCGTCCATTCACCCCATTACTCCATTTAAAAGAAAAAATATCTGGGCCAAGCTGATTGGTTCATGTTATTCGGTTTGTTTTTACACTGCTATGGCCAGTTTGCTTACACTGGTTTTTTTTTTTCTTTTACACACACATTAGCAGTGAGACTCGCTCAGAAAAATTCTGTATGAGCTCGGCACAAACTGGACTGTCTCGACAGCTAGCACTGTGAGTAAGCCAATGTGACATTTTTCTTTCTCTTTGCTTCTGATTGTGAACGAATCTTGACATTTTCCCTTGTTATCTTATTCATGCAGTCATTTAACATTGTTTTCAAGTTTGGTTTTCACGTTATCACAAGTGTACGTGTAGTTTAGTTGCACGTTTTGTTGTTATTATGTTTATTTTCTTTTACTAGTTGCTTCAAGTTTATTTTTTCGTCAATTTTTGAATGCATTCTTTCTTATTCCTTTGCATTACCTCAGGAGTTTTGCACTTAAGTTGTAGAATGACTCCAACTAGATCTGAATTATTTTTGAGAGTTATGCTCCTGGAAGCTAGTCTATATGCAATTACCGTTCTCACTCTGTAGAGGTACAGTATTTTAAGATGATGCTTGAAGTATTTTTTTTCCTCATTGAAGCGGAAACAAAAAATGTGCTCTCTCCTGTTTTGTAATTTCTTTTGTTTTTCTCCAATATGAAAATGTCCATCAAGGAAAAAAAGTATTGCTGCTTCTTTCAAGAAACAGCTGGATGAAACTACAAGTATATTTGATAGCACCTGTATAACAGTAATTGAAAGGCAAAAATTACTACATTAGGACATGAACTTCAAATTGTATTGATGCGTAGCTGGCATGGCAATGAAATTATTTTTTTTTCACTGGGAAGAAAAAGAACTCATGTCTCAGTGGTCAGGTCCTAGTATTCTATTGGTGTTTGGTGAAAGCAGCCTGAACTACTACACTGAACTTCTACTGAAATAATTTTGCCATATGTTTTTTATAATCCAAGTCAAATGTTGAACATCAGTACACGTATTTACATCATTGACATGCTGCAAAAGAAAGCGACTCAGGCTCTCAAACTCTGCTTAGGAGTGCTTTAATTTTCTTGTGTCTTTATTTTTTCTCCAAAAGATGTCATTATTTTATAACTTTCATGAGTACTGATGACAATATGAGTTTAAAATTAAATACATATATAGTAACTGAAAAAGCTTATACAATCATGTTTTGGTAACATTTTATTTGAATGTGATCAACATAAAACTTTCATAAAGGATTCACATCTACGGTATAATATTTATTCCTAATTCTTTATAATTTATTTAAAAACCACTTCAGGTTCTTAAATATTTGTGGAAACCCTAATAGAAACCCTTGCCTTAGCAAAAGTTATGATCTCTGCTGTCACAAATCTTATACATTGTTACAAACAGTTATACAGGTATTGTTGTACAGTATATGGCCCCAGTGAAAGATCCTGGCTACATAAAACTTTATTCCAGATAAAGCTTGACACAGAGTTTATAATAGTGTCTGGTAAGTGAAGTCGGTTAGTTAATACATTATCTGGAAAGGAAAATCAAAAAGTAACAATCTTGCGTTAAAACCTGTAAGAGCTTTAAGATGTACTCTTTTATATTGTCATGGCATTGTTAAGGTCTGACTGAAATTGTTATGTGAAGCAAAGAAAAACAATTGATTAGTTTATTTTTTAAATTAGAGACTCACCCAGTCTGTTTGAAAACATTGCTGTTATCAATCAATGATTTAATCAGGCGGGAAGTGTGGATTTTCTAAGCTGTCTGCTTTATTTTTCATCACTTTGAATTTGTGGTGCTGATAAACTTTGCAGGAAATGCTTGTTTCATTGCTTCTTAATAAAGTAAATGGATGACTCAGGCACAGGACTTAGACATCCTAAATACTGTCTTTAAATGGGACTTGTTTCACACTGGTATGGAAAACCTACAGTATGGGGTCTCCTTGTTTGTGTAGATTCTGTACATAGAAGCCCTTCCATTCACTGCCCACATCCAGTAACAAATAGACCACCAGGTGAAGCAGCAATTTATTCCTTGGGGATTCAGTTGTCTTCTGGACTGATTGATGCATTTAAATGTTTTACTGTTAAATGCATTGGAAACAAATATCCCAAGCCTTTAATGTCACTGCTCGACAGGAGTAGCATTACAAAAGGGGCTGTGAAGAGAGAAAAAATGATAGATCTTGCATGTCAAAAGATGAACATTCCTGAGGGCCATGTGCTTGTGTCTCAGAAAGCATACAACGGCTGCACTTTATCTGTTGCAGAAATGCTGTTTTTACTTGGAATCACCAGAAATCATCTGATTTGTTTGTCGTTTGGCTCTGAAAAAAACTATTTTGGTTAGATTTCGGTCTCAATTTTCTGTGTGTACTAACATATAGAAGCATTGAATGTTTCTTGATCCTTATTCTGTGTCGAAATTCTGTGAATGCAAGTACAGAAGATGTGCATCCATTTCTCCATGGATCTTTCAGTCTTGCCCGCATCTATTGGAGACTGTTACACTAAATGGGTACCAACCACAGGATAGTCTTATAAAATATATAATATTTGTTTTGTGAAACAGTATCCCCTTTCCTCCTCAGTCACACAATGATCAGTCTCCAGGCCCTCAAAACATACTGTACCTTATATGCTTTTTCATTCTTTTCAATCTTTAGTTATTTTTCTTGAATTAACGTAAGATCACCCTAGGTCAGAGTTATTCATTTTTGCTTATGCAAATGAATCAGAGGGTAAATATGAAGAAACAAAGCATGTCAGTAAAAATATCTAATGTACACTGTAAAAGGTCACATTATAAAATATTTATAGTATTATAACTTGTATGATGAGGACATTGCTAATCGGCAGTTCTAATTCCAGTGTGTTGTGTGATGGTCGGCTGAGTGGTAATTGATACATGCATTCACTTCAAGCACAACTGCACTTCTGTGTGATTAGGCAATTTTAAGTATCGATCATTGATATGTCACTCAACATGTATATTTAGTTTCTTTTTATCACCACCACCACCACTGCTGCTGCTAACTCCGTTTGCAATGTTTCTGATGCACTTTGTACTTTCTTACAGATTCTACAATGGGGACAGGGCACATCCCATCAGTGTACAAGATGACTCACCTGTCTGGCATTTTCATTCTATGTAAGTCTGTTTACAGGCCTATATACTCTGCCTCACTGTATATCCTAGTCCTGTGTTTGGGGACATCAATCATCAAGCTTTCTAAAACTCACTAAATGGAGTTTATAACAAAGTTCGGGAGGGATGACAACAACCGAGCTCAATCAGACGCGGCTGTCAGTAATTAGCAATCGCTCTTGACAATCCATTCCTCTCCCAAACGCTATAAATACCTACGAGATCACTATCTCTCACTCTCTTGCATGTCTCTTGCATCCCAACTCCACCCAATCTCTACCTCTGCAGCTGCCCCTTGGTCGCCCTGCATGGAGGTCCTGGCCTCCTTGTCCTATGGCACAATTTCGCTCCATGACGCTTTCATCTTAGGTGTTGTCATTCCTAGTGAATTCACAAAATGACTTGTACAGAGCTTGCACTCTATTTTCAAGACTAAATGGCCTTTAAGCTTTAATGTGGTGAGCTATGCTGCAGAGATAAAAAAAGATTAATCATTCAAAGACACTAGTCTTGCAGTGTTTTTTATTGTGAGGAGCTATTTGTAAGTCCATTGTGTTATGTGGAGAGGTTTCATTAATAAAATACTATCATTTAACCAGACATTCATTACTCCACATACTACTACCTAATAAACTTATTTTAGTAAACAATAATTATTACTCTTAAATACTGGGTCAATAATTTAATCTCAGCTTCAGGGTCAAAGTATGGAAGAATATAGAATACCTATGACTGCGTGACAAGAAAACTACATTTTATGCTTATGTTACTTTGTTTTCTGTAAATGCCAATCCCTGAATTAAGGAAATTGAAGAACATTATCATGGTTGAGTTTTTGGATCTTGACAAATCTGTCAATTTAGTAAGTGTCAGTACTATTAGTAAATTAACATTAAGATCTAACCTAGCCTGATTCTGGAAGAATATGTATATGGTGTTCAGACTGATTATTTTGTTGTTCTTAGAAAATATATTATTGATCAAAAATATTTAAATAAAATAATAAAACCAGAAACAAGATTAGAAACAGAAAACGTACAAGAGAGTGGTCTCTTCACTAATTTTCTCATTAGTATTACAATTGCTTTGAATATTTCACTTACTACTGGTATCTAGTCCAGTGATTAAAAAAAAATCATTACTTTTTTTTCCCATGGTTCATTGCTCTTTTTAATTTAATTTAAAAATGTTTTTGATAAATAGAGATTTTAAATGGCATAAAATTGTTTACAATGTGGCAGTGATTGCAATCTGACAAGTGCTGCAAATTATTACAATTATTAATCAAGTCTATTTGTCTCACAGGCAGAGTGATGTCAGGTACGGGCATGTGCTACAAGAAGTTTAGTTAAATTTACGAAGCTGTTGCCATGGTGTTCTCTTTTGTTATAAAATTTTATGCTTAATTCATTCTTTTTTTAACACTTAGTGGAACATTCAATGGTCTGCTTTGAATCTTATAGATAAGAATATAATCTGTTTCCGAGTATACTCCGCAAAATGTCTAGCAGACAAAGAAAGCAAAGAAATGTTATTTCAGCTTGATTTAATGCCAGCAGGGCTCAAAATGGATAATACTGTAGACTTCACTTCCATGTAGGCAAAATAGTTCCCCATTTGGTAAAGATATATGGGGATATCTTTTAAAATATGAGTTGTAGCAAAACAAAAAGAAAAAGGTAAACTCAGGTAAACAGTAAAATCTATTTAGGTTGGTGTTCAAAATATGAAAACAGAACTAAAGGTATATTTATATATTTTTTTTTACTTTAAAACCTGTGAATCTTAATTCCTTAATCTTAATCTTAAGGAATCTTACTCTTATATTACTCTTACTCTTATAAGGTAAAGGTATAAATAATATACAAGGGACCACTGTTCCTTCTAAGCAGCTCCAAGTTAGAGTTCTGGCTTCAAACACACACAGGGGAGTGTGTTTGAGTGTGAGAGAACAGGTGTTTTGTCTGGTCAAGTGCTCATTAGCAAAGTACAGCTGGGGTTTTTGCTAGTGGAAAAGTTAATTAGAGCAATGGCAATGGAAGACGGGAAAAACTGTGGGCAGGAGAATGTTGTCAGAAAGTCGGTCAGGGTCTCCTGCGTAATAGGACAGAGCCTGCAGGTTCAGTGCAATCAAACCTCTGGGTTCCTAGTCAATTAGTTATTACTCTGGGCTTCAAAATGCTAACTTCTTGTTGGGTGAGAGGCCACAGCAATCCCTGAGGCACATACCAGATACCATGTGAGTGTGCACTGGACTTAGGAGACTTTAACTGAATCCTGCCAAATGTTTTGAAGCAGACTGCATCTCAGCATGGAGATCCTTACAGTTTTTTCTATAGTATTCCTATATTAATCCAGGAGTTCATTTGAAATCAATCAATTGATATTCTCCTGTAATTTTCTTTAGGTATGTGGTCCATACACTGTTTTTAAATGTGCTTCAGCATCAAGGGCTTTTAATTTACAGCTGAGTTCTTTACTAATTTCTCCATTTGTCTTTTGTGAGGTTAACATTACTAGTTTAGATGCCCGTGTGAATTGTGAACATTTATGATAGTCTTTTACTCAGGTGCAATTAAAAAACAAATTAAAGCAATCTGTTATTGTAGTACACGGTACTTTTTCATCTACTCATATGCAGCTAAACAGGTCCTTAAGGTCATGAAAAGTGTTGTGGCTCGTGTTTCTTTACAGCCAGGTCTTATATAACCATTTAAAATAGATATAGAAAAAGTATTTGTCCTGAAAGTTTCACAAAATAAATTTCATTCACAAAAACAAGAATAACATTACCATACTGCATGTGGCTTTAGGTTATGAGGGATTTCACTTAATCCTCTTCAGATTTCAGGCCAGCCTGTTCATCAATGGCTTTTTTTATCTTGTTTTATCACTGAAAACACTGTAGAGGAGAAAAGATTCAAGCCACTGGTGGCCACAGCACCAATGTGTAGCACCCACCTGAATCCTGTGATGGCAGCCAAAGTGCACCAGGATCAGCTATCAGTGGGAAGGAGAACAGTGTAATGACACCAATTCAGAGATGGAGATGATTAGGAAGCCATGATTGGGAAAGGCAAGGGGGGAATTTGGCCTGGACAATGGGATGTGGCTTTACTCTTTTCAAGAAGCACCATGGCATTTATAATGACCATGGAGAGTCAGGATCTCGATTTAACTTTTCATCTTAAGATTGCATGTTTTTTTACAGTATAGTGTCCCCATCCCTACAATATATTGGGCATTAGGACCCACATATTGCACAGGATTAGTGCTCCCTACTGGTCCCTACTCTTTCAGCAACAACCTCTTTCAGGAGGTCCAGGTACTGGTCAGGCTCACACCTGCTTAGCGTCAGTGGGTTACCGGTTGTGAGCTGCAGGGTGATGTGGTTTCTGGCTTATACTAAACTAACTTGAAAATTCTGCTGTGAACAACACAAATATACTTGTAGTGAATCGCTTTTACAGTACCCTTGAGTAGTTACTGTAGTTTCAATTTGTAACAAAATTAACTAAGGTACTTAATTCCTGAATTAAGTATGAAAGCGTTCATGAAAGGTGAGGAGAAAGAACACGTTGGGCTCTTTGACTCATTCACTACACCTTTTTAACGGAATCCGAAAGGGCATCTGTGTGTTCCTTTAAATTGTGTCTTACAGGACATTTATAATGACCTACACCATTGTTGTTCACTCAATTCATGAATTACTTTATGTCACTGGGGTTCCTAGAACAGCTGGAGCTTTTGCCTTGTAACTGAAGTCTGTATCTGAGTTTGCAGTTTATTCTTTGTCCAATATTGTTGTTTTGTTGTTAAAGCATTTTTAATTCAGACAATGCTACAGAGTGAAAAATCCAAATAATTTAGATGTATGACAGAAGATACAGTCAAACCCCATAATACCAACTGAGGAAGAAGTCTGCAATTATATTTTTGCCTTAAACCAGTTTGGTTTTGAGGGACAACTGGCCTGTCAAGGTGGATGCAGAAACATTGTAGATCACCAGGAGCTGTATTTATTGCTGTATTGGTGATGAAGTATGAGTTTGGTGGATGGGTAGGATTATCTCTGGGAAATGGTGGTCAAGAGACCTGTATTTATAGAACCACATATTGTTTGGGACTTCAGCTTGTCCTCCAGAACATGCTCACTATAAATGATAAAAGGTAACTCCAGTTCGTTGTGTACTGTACGTTTTGGGATTCACTTTTGAGCAAGCAATGTTTAGAGTCAGGAATGCAAGTGTGCATGAATGTAAACGTATACAGTACTCTGATTTTTAACTGCATATTGTGCAATTCAACTGAACCTCGAAACACATGGATTAAACAAAATACCATAATAAAACAAATAGTACAATTAACTGTGGAATAAATGTGATGTTTGTGACTTACAGCAGCTGACCAAAACCCCCATTAGCTCTTCTGTATGGTGCTTTTGAAAACCGTGTGTCAGGGTTGCTGTTGTGCTTTAACAGTCTCACAAGCAGCTGTGGTTTCAGGCCTTTGACCAGTTTTCTATAATGCCAGTACCACATGGTACAGGGTACCAGCTTCCCATTGTGTACCAAGGTAATTGAAGACTTTTTAATTAGAGGCAATTTGTTCCCCTGACACCAAATGGTGAGACAATTGAATTTATGGCAGGCCGAGCAGAGGTCAGTGTAAACTACTTGAAAATAACTATGAACTAACTAAACAGACTCACTAGACCTTTTGGCTAATGTGATTTTCTTTCAGAATCTGAAAGGAGCAAGATAACTCCATTGTCTTCTTTGGTTTCGTTAATCATAAATAACCTTGCAATATGTTATAAAATTGTAGATTTTGTGTGCATTTATTTGTCAGCTGCAGTTAATTGCAGGTCCTCTGGTACAATTTAATTCCTACTTAATACTATTTAGTTACTGCTGTGCACTTAAAGAAGGCTCCACAGCCGAAACGTTGTGTTTTCTTTCTTCTCTTCTCAGCATGGAATAAACCTTTACTTGTTCCTAAAT